AATATTATTATATACTTGTTTAAATTTAGAAGATCTTTCTTTTTCAAATATACAATTAAATCAAATGAATAATATAACATTTGATATATTTTATCAATTTTCAAAATTAAAAAAACTTAATTTATCAAAAAATAATCTTGAAAATAATTTTCTTTTATCATCATCATCATCATCATCATCAATAAAACAATTTGATTATTTAGAAGAATTAAATTTTCAATATAATCATTTTACAAATATATATTCATTATTATCAAATATGAAATCTTTACATTTACTTGATTTAAGTTATAATTCTTTAAATAATATTCCTGAATGTTTAAATTTAAATTTAAAAATTTTATATTTATCATATAATAATATTGAACTTAATTCAAATGATTGTATTTATTTAAAATATATTATTGAATTAGATTTAGATCATAATCAAATAAAACAAATACCAAATGAATTTATACAATGTTTATATTTAGAATCATTAAATATATCATATAATCAATTAAAAAAATTTCCTGATATTATTTTAGAATTACGTTCATTAAATAAATTAATAATTAATGATTCAAAATTTCAATATTTAACAACAAAAAATTTTTTTGAAAAATTTTTTTATCGAACAATAAATATTTTAAATTTATCAAATAATAATTTACATACAAATTTAAATGAATTAACTTGTTTAAAAGCATTAACATATTTAGATTTAAGTTCGAATTATTTATATGAACTTGATCATGATTTTAAATTATTAACATGTTTAAAAATTTTAAAATTAAATAAAAATAAATTTACTAAATTTCCATCTTGGTTATATGAAATGTCAAATAATAACAATAATAAACAAAAATATATTGGTAAGAATTTATTGAAATTCTTCATATTTAGAAGTTAGATACATGAAAGATTTATCTAATAGAATTGTTTTTATTCGTAAACAATGTGTTCTTTTCTATTAAATTTTGATCAATGACAAGTTGAAATAAGCTTGGATATTATCTTGGAGAGGACCGTCCGCTAGGGAACTGTCGGTTCTTCCAGGTCCGGATCCGCAAAAATATGGACCCGTAACTTCCTATTCTCTGCTTCAGAATTCTCGATAGTTTTTAGAAGTAGAAAGGGCTAAAAATTTGACAGACAATCAAAGGCCATCTGTCTGGCAGAAAATGACTAAGAAAAGCTGCCTTCTAGAATTTGTCAGGCAGTTTTCCGATAACAGCTTGAAATTTTCGTAGTTGCCGCGTAAGAAGTGAAAGTGACTAGTCTACCCTTCTCCTCACATCGAGACCTATACTCTCCGCTTTGGTACTTTTGGAGAACGATTTATCAAAAGATTTTGAAGCTTTCAGGACAGATCGATCTTGATGAGTAGAGCAATAGTTGCCATAGGCATCCAATTACCATCGAAGTGGCAAGAACGAAAAATGTTCTCCATCCCTTTTTCAGGCACAGCACCATTGATAGAGTTAGAGGCTTATTTGGTAGATGCTAGACACTGCGTGGAATGCCTACTTTGTTTTAGTTTCTTTTCATCTCACTCTATTCGAATAAAAATAGTACAACATATTTTGAACGAAAATGAAGTAGACATCCTAAATACTTGTCAATATAAGTAGAAGAAAGTTTCAGGTCGATCGGATGTACTGTGATTGAGAAACGAGACGGAACTTTGAATCTTCTTTGACAAAAAACAGTGAAATAACGTGTAGATTTTGATGTTTTTCCAGAGAAAATGTTTCGGCTTTTCCACTTTTATACTTATATATTAATCCTTGAAATATACCCAGTAAATAGGGGACACTTTAAAGAATATATAGAACAGAAAAAAATATAAAAAAATTCAGTTGGAAAACGAGCGAGTTTCGTTGACATGCTCGGTGTCACGATCGTCTCATTCTTCAGAGAAAGCTAAGACTAAATTAGAATTATACCGAAAATTTACAAAAGAAGCGAGATCTTCGGTGTTTTAAATCAAGTTTAATGAATTGGATGAATATAACAGATAGTCTAAATGACTCGCTCAGTATTTCTCAAATAGCTGGATTTTTTAAAGATTTGATTTTCAATTCTCTACAAAACCATCTATGTTTATTTGTCCAAGTATTTAAAATAATATTTTGTCTAATCAAACGAATAAGTAACTTCATTATTACAACGTTCAAAAAGAATTTTTTTTTCTTAAGTTGTTTTACTAGTTGTTTTGAATTCCTAAATTACGAATTTTTTAAACATCGCATGATTGGAAAGGGATGCGGAATTTTCGAAATGATTATTTGATAGCACTACATTATGTAGTATCTAAAGAAATCTTAATCATTAGAAGGAGGAGAGATATGTATGAAGTTCAAAATAGCCTACAAGTTGGTTAGTGAATTTCCGAACCATCCGTTTATGCTCTTTTCTTTTTATTTAAATTTTGTATCTGTTTATGACACGTACGAATTCATATATTACATTGTAATCTGATGAACTTAAATCGGATATATGAAGAAGTCAATAATCTCTGTCAATAAATTGTGAATAAAACAATGAACATGGTAGCAATCTGAAAACTAGAATCCGTCGTGTCCAAAATTTTCAGATCCAGACCCAATGAGCTCTAATGAAAACTATTTCACATCATTCATCGCTCAAGACCATAGATTTTTCAATAATGTTGATTTGAACTTATGCAAACTAATTATATAAGACGGTTTGTTGCCTGTCGTCGATTAGAACGAAATAATTTTTGAAGAATTCAAATGTATGATAAAGTAGACGCTGAAAAACATTTGTTTTTGAACGTTCTTATAATTAGGTCAATTATTTTTTTATTATTTAGTAAAAAAAAATATTTTAACTATTCAAGGGGATTTAATTGAAGATTGAACAACTAATTTCAAGCTATTCAAGAAATTATGAGAAACATCCATTACTCTCTGATCTAGACTGTTCATTCTCATACTCAAATAAGATGGACTAAATGGATAGCAAAATAACTATGAAATTCTTATTAGAAGACTTGAAATTTCATTATACATATGAGTATATGTTGTCAACTGTAAAATTTGAATAGTAAAATATTTGACAACTTCAATAAAAGGTTTTTGAAATTCTAAGGTTGTTCAAAATAAAATAGTTTATCGACTAATATATAAATTTATGCTTAATACTAAAACCTACGTAGATAAAAAATGAAAATCTTTGCAAACTAAACAATTGTTTTTTCTCATTCAATGATGTCAGACAACATAGGATGATGCTGAATATTTTTTATTAGTATGACTTTTTTTTTTTATCAATTTTAATTCGAAAACCTACACAATTCATATCGATAAGATATTTTTATGAAGAGTAAAATCTTAACTTTATTATCATTAAATCTGAATACTATTTTTCTTTTATATAATTTTAGCTGAAACTCTTTTAGAATTATATATCAGTGATAATAAAATCGAATCTATTCCTGATGATATTGTTCATATGATAAATCTACAAACTATTGATTTATCTAATAATCAATTTTTAAAATTTCCTAATACATTAGTTTATCTTGAACAACTTACATCACTTATTTATTCTCAAGAACATGGTATTCATATTAATAAATTACCTGATGATTTTATTCATTTATATAATCTTAAAAAACTTGATTTATCTCATAATATATTTAATGAAATACCAGATATGATTTATAATTTAACTAAACTTGAATATTTAAATATGAGTTATAATCTACTTACAAATATAGATAATAATCGTTTAAAACAATTAAAAAATTTTAAAATAATTAAATTAAATGGAAATAATTTTACATCATTTCCATCGATAATTTATCAATTGGAAATATTTAATTTAAATGAAAATCCTTTATGTTTAGCACCACCAAATGATTTTTTAGATGATAAATATATTTCAGCAACTTCAAATCTTTATGTACAAATAAATGATAAATATGAAGAAAAACTTTTTGAAATTTATCAAAAAATTTTTATTGAAAATTTAACAAGTTATGATATTGAAAATTTATTAATACGTTTAAAATTATCGAAAAATGATATGAATCATTTTCGAAATAATTATTCTCATTTAAAACGTGAAAATAAAATTGAAATATTATTAAATATATGGAAAGAAAAACGTGGTACATTAGCTAATTCAGATGCTTTATATAAATTTGCACAATTAATTGGTGATAAAAATCTTGTAGAAAAAATCCATAGAGCTTATTTACTTGCACGAAAAATTCGAATTTAATTTTTCTCTTTTCGTTTTTTGTATTTTTCAATATATGAATAAAAGACATAACAATTCATGCTGTACGTTTGTGTACACTACCGCCGGTATATAACCGTAGAATGGCGATCGGAAGATACCGAAATCATTTAAGTATCAAACTATCATTGGCTGATTGCCGGTATACCGACGTTTTTTGTTCGGTTTGAATCATATGGAAAATAATTGAATAATAATGATTAGTTATTTGCTTAGTTAATTGCGAGATAATAATTGTCGAAATCTAAGGATATTTTACATAAATTGATAAAAACATGTACAAAAATTCGTATTTCTTTTGCAAAAACATTTTTCTATAGTCCTGAAAAAGTGTAATTTTATTAATTTGTTGCCATTATATACATTATATTCTTTGAAACAAAGCGAAATTAAATTCAATAGAGTTTTCTAATAGTAAAAAACTAATCATAGATCACATTTGTCTTGCATTTGATGTTAATATTATGTGATTTATTTGGAAAACAAACATGCGACAATAGAAATAGTATTGATCATTATTAAGACGATCAAGTCCAATTAGATTTAGAATATTTAAAATTCTAAAAGAACTGATCTGGATAAACTAGATTAAAAAACAATCAAATAATTTTTTTTCTACTTTAATCAATCTACAATATCTTTAATGTTCTCAAATGAACAGATAATATTATACATTATGTATATTTTAAATACAAAATAAGATAACTGTTGCTCAGCAACAATTTTAGTCTATATACTATTATTTCATTATGAACAAGATCAATCTACCACCTATACAAATTCCTAATTCAATAAATATTTGCTGTAATCATCAAATGTTCGATCGATCTCAAATCGATAATCATAATACTTATCAAAATCAATCTTTTAACCAACAATATCTTAATTCAGTATTATATTTCTATATTTAATTATTAAAACAAAAATATTTCTATTTCATATTATAGTTTAATAAGAAATCTCACTTAATGAATACATCAGTTTGGCATCGTCTCTTTCGAATACCAACAGATTCAAGTTATCGTCATTCTTGTTATTATAATGAAATTAATTCTCCAAAAAATGATCTAGATTTTCGTTTACGAACATGTTATAATCATGCACAAGAATCATTTGCATCAAAAGCACGTGTGGTTGTTCAACCAATGACTATTTATCAAATACAAAAGTAAAATTACAATATTTTTTTTATTTAAATAATATTATATCAATTTATTTTTTCTTTTTGTTTTTTTATTAGACAATTAAATTCTTTTGAAAAAATTAATTATCCATTTAAGATTATTAATGAAAATCGTAAAGAACATTTTAATGAAGCAACAAAAGGTCAACATATTGGTTCTGATCATTTTGCTAATGGTAAACATGGTTATTCACGTGTTATTGCTGGTGCTATGTCAATTGATTAAAATTTTTATTTTAGCTTTATTAAATATAATTTCTGTGTTAACAGATAATCAATTATAAGAATAAAACAAAAAAAAAAAAAATAATTACAAATCTATTGCATTAAATCATATTTAGCTAGCAAGGTCAGAAACAATCGCATCAATATTATCATTGTAAATTTCTAAATAATTTTCAAGAGTTTGATCATCAATTTGAGGAAGCATTTCACGAAGTATTGAAAGTTTTTCTGATTTTGATTTATCATTATCTGTAAATATTAATGAAAATATTTGAGAAAAAGAAAATATGAAATGTAACATACGAATTTTTGTTTCATTTTCATCCGAAGATATATTCATATCATTATATTGACGAGTGAATCGATTTAAAAAACGATCCATTGTTCTATAGAAAATGAAATATAAGTAAATAATTAAATAAAAAACATTTTTATTAAATTTTTACTCTTGTCGATCAGCTTCACGAGCTTCAGTTGTCCATCCAGTAGCTCCTTGATCATTTTGATTCACTGTTCTAAATGTAAATTATCGAACGATAATAATAGTTAAATTAATGTTATTACGGTTTCATTGAATGAAGTTGAGTAACTCGATTTTGTTTTTCATTTTGCATAGACTAAAAAAATAAAAAATAATTACATAATACACTAAGAACCTTAGAATTTTCTACAAAAAATACAAAAGAGGATTTTTACCGAATTTTGTGATCTATCTTGAATCAGAATACCATATATGTGGTATTCTAGAGCAATTTCCAGTGCGTCAGATGGTATATAAGAAATCAAGTTTGTTATCAAATTTTGATGTTATCAGGATCGATATACTGATTATAACTTTTGAGAAATATATATGATACTCATTGACATTGTAGTTCCTAAGATAAACTCAATTCGATACAGTTACAAGTGTACGTCAATTTTCTAGAATGTTTTCATCATTGCTTTCTCCATAACGAAAAATAGTCCGTTTAGGTTATTTCTTGAATATATGATATTCCAGTTTGCTCAACTCTGTGCTACAAAACAAGTGAATAGCAATGTGAAACTTTCTCAAAAATACGATATTTTAACAATACTCAGTGTTTCTATTAAAAATTTCTAAGTATCAATAATAATCACAGCAGCCCTAATGAATTGATATAAATAACTCCTTTATAAATGGAGAAACATTTTTTGACCTTCATACCCATCTAGGGGGTACGAAGATATAAAAAATTTTCTTTTTAAAATTATCATGAGATATTTACACATTCTTGTAGAGTTTCAAGCAAAAATAAATAATAAAAATAACAGACCTTCTGCCAGCAATCCTATATCCGTACTCCTCTCCAGGAATTTAGAGGCCAAAAAATGTTTTTCCGTTTATAAAAGAGTTATTTATATTAATTCATCAAGGATGTTATGTTGATTATTTATACATAGTTTTTAATAGAAACGGTAAGTATTGTTTAAATATTATCGATATACCGATCTCATCATATAGGAAAACCGTCTATTCTACGGAACAATCTTGCAAGTTGACAATGACTTCCAACAGTGCCGAAAGATATTATATGTCAAATAAAAAGAACTCGATAGTGTGCAATTTTTTAGAAGGTTTCATATTACTACTCACCTGTTCTATAGCACAGAGTTGAGCACACTGGAATATCATATGGTCAAGAAATAACCTAAACGGGCTATTTTTAGGTATGGAAAAAGCAATGATGAAAATGTTATAGAAAATTGACGAGTACTTACAGCCGTATTGAGTTAAGTTTATCTTAGAACATCTTAGGAACTACAATATCGATGAGTATCATATATATTTTTCAAGAATTATAACCAGTATATGAATCCTCGGAACACCAAATGGGATAAAAATTTGTTTTCTTATATAACATTTGATGCGCTAGAAATTGCTCTACCAAACTACATATATGGTATTCTCGTTCAAGACAGGTCACTAAATCCGGCAAGATCCTTTCGTTTGCCTGTATTATATTGTTTCAATCGATTCCAGGACTTTCTAAAAAGTTTTCATATCAATTTCAGCGCAGCAGTTACAAGGAATAAGAATGAAGACTATAGCTTCAATTTGATAAAGTTCGAACATATTGTATCTATCAAAAGAGAAATCGAATAGATAAATTTCGATAGTTCCTCGAAGTTCGACAAACAATATATTTCACAGAGTTGAGTAAATACAGACTTTCTCGAGTATGACTACTAACAAAATCGCATTCGAGTATTAGTTGGAGTATCCAATGGTGAGTCTCCCGAAAGTTTACTGGAGAAAATATAGTTATTAGCCTAAAAGATATCATATATCAATACTCAAATCGAAATTTTGTAAACGTTATCAGTCCAAAGATCCTTATTACTATTTTTATTACTGAGCTTCAAGTAAAAAAAACACTACAATAAAACTCATTACATTTAAGAAAAATAAGTAGACACACATTTTTAAATAAAGGAGGAGACATTTTCTTTGTAGATACATCAACTTTTGTTTCTTAGCGTATTAGTGTTATTGTTTCTTTTTTTGAGCTGCGTTTGACTAGTCGGCTTCATTAATATTTATGATATAAAGAATTCATATCTACGATCTCGAACACGAGTACTTTACCGAGACCTTGTATTTCAAATGAATGCATTATTTATTTATTGTTTTATCATAGTTCTTATCACGAAATATCAATATTTATTTGATATTAACGAGCTTTTACCTGTTGACGTGCTGCTTGTTTTTTAGCTTCGATTTCATTTTCGTCTTGTTGTTTTTTTACAAACTGATTTTGATGGCTTTTTTCCTAGGATAAATATATTAACAAAATCAAAAATAAAAAAAGTACAACAATTTGCTTACTAATCTTTCAAATTTTTCTCGTCGATATTTTTCTGCTTGTCGTCGACGAACTTCATCTTGACCTAATCCATCGCCACCTGTTAAGGAGAAAAAAATTTTTTTTTTATTCCAAAAGAAATCTATCTTACCTAAACGATGTACTTCGTGAAGGTCATGAAGACGCGTTCGTTCAACATGTGCTTCATATTGACGTTGTTCATTTTCAGCTTGTCTTCTCATTTGTTCACGTTTTGTTGTCGATGGTGTATACATATGATAACCTTCACTAATAAGAAAATATCTTATTTTACAAAAATAAATCAGATCTTATAACAAAGTTCAACATACACTAACAAGGGAACCTTATTATGTGTCTTCTTCTGATTTTTCTGTCTATAGATACTATCTAGTGTTCTAATAAAAATCCTAAAATGTGGTGTTTTATCCAATATGAAGACCGGGGAGGGGGGGGAGAGGAAAGCGGTACCCTTCTGAAAGAGGGAATCTAGATAAAACACTGCCAAAATGATTTGAGTTCCTATTAAAATTTGACTAAGCTAACGAATTTTTAATATGTCTATTTCCTAGACGATCCCAACTTTTCGAAAAACCTGTATTTTCGAATTTTGACTTTGTGAACATAGAGAAGTCAACTAGAATAGGGTCCATTAAAAAAATCCATGTTATATAAACTATCTATGGAAAAGGATCTAAATCTTTAAGCGACTTTACTCAAAACTTCTGAATTTTTTATGAAAGCTAGTCTAGTTGAGTTCTGTACATGCACAAAGTCAAGATTCATAAATACGAATATTCTGAAAAGTTGGCATCTCTAGAAAATAGGCATATTAAAAATTCGATAGCTTAGGATCTATAGGCAAAAAGATCATTAAAATCAGGAGGGAAGATCTGAAGAGGTTCCTTCGTAAGTTTATTGCTTTTTTGTTTCTGTTGAATAAAAAGAAAGTGAAATATCTAGTCAACAAACCCAACATGAACGGTATGTTGTTCTTGTTTTGTTCCATCATTTTCATTATACGGATCATAATCATTTCTTTCTTGTTGTGGTCGTTGAGTATGTAAAGCTCGACCACGAATTGATGTTCGAGGACCACGAATTGATGTTCGAGCACCACGAGTTATGGTTTGATTAGTTGGTGATGTAGAAGGAATCGATTGTTGTGTCGGTCTTGTAGCAGGTGGTCGTCGAGTAGTTGATGCTGGTGGATTACGACAAACTCGAGACATTGGTTTTTTTTTGTTGTGTTTAAATTAAATCTACAAACCATATATGTGGAGATATAATATTCGTGAATAATGATTATACAATATTATGTTCTTTTTCCATAATACACCAAGAGATATTGCGGAAACAAAAGAAAAAACAAAAGAATAAATGAATCACGCTAAACAAAAAAAAATTAAAGATGTTTTAAAGATATTTGTGTTCATCTCCAAATTCGACATGTATTATCTTTACTGCCTATTGAAAATAAATAAATAAATAGAATAAAATATTTTTTTTTCCTATGTATTCAAACCTGTAATAATTGTATTTCCTTCATAATTAAAAGCACAACTAAATATTTCATCTGTATGTCCTTCAAGTATTTGTTTACATTCACCTGTTAGTGGATCCCAAACTCGAGCTGTTTTATCCGCACCTTAACATATAAAAATTTTTATTTTATTTTTTTCTCATTATGCAAAACATACTCGCTGTAATTAAACGATTGCCTTGTGAATTAAAAACAATCTAAGAAAAATTCAAAACAAAAACAAAAATCTTTTCTTTTTTTCGTCCCTTATAAAAACTTTACTTTAGATATTTCAGCTTGATGTCCTGTTAATGTAGCTATACATAATTGACTGAGTGCATCATAGACACGTCCAGTTTTATCAGCTGATGCTGTTGCTATATATTGACCAGTAGAATCAAATATAACATCAAGTACTTCATCTTCATGTCCTCTTAGTGTTGCAAGACATTCGCCTATAAATCAATGATAAAATAAAAATGGAGATGGATCTATGTTGTTTTTTTTTTATTTGTTACCAGATAATGCATCCCATAATTTACATGTTTTATCCATACTACCAGTCACTATTCGACTACAATCCCAATTAAATTGTGCACTACTTACTTCAGCTGTATGACTAATTAATGTATGAATTTTACTAGAAATATAAGCGAAGAAAGAAAAAAATACAAAATGAATATATTTTTTTTAGTTTTCTTACTTTCCAGTGCGAACATCCCATATAGCAACAGTACGATCAAATGAAGCTGTTATTACTTGATCACCTCTTGTATTAAAACTAACTGATATTATTTCACCTGTATGACCCTAAATTAAATACAATATTCAAATAAAAAAGACTTCTCTATAAATAACATACATGTAAATTAGCTATTTCTGTACCAGAGACAATATCCCATAATTTAGCTGTATGATCCATACTACCAGTTACTAAAACAGTACTTTGAGGATTAAATGCAAGACATACCTAATTTTGTAATGAAAATAAATATTATTTGATGAAAACAAAATAAATTATTTTTATTTACTATTTCACCAGTATGACCGCGAAGTGTATGATAACTTGTACCACGTTCTGTACTCCAAATACAAGCTGTTTTATCAAATGAACCAGTTGCTATTTTATCTCTAAAATAAGAATATATTCTTCAGAACGAATAATTAAATTATAAGATATAATCAAAAAGTATACACTATATTCTCTCAATGCATTTTCATACTGATAAGTTCATTTGATTGTTAAGAAGAAAGATTTACATTCTAATATAAATCTCTCTCATAATTAATTTATTGTGGGAAAATACCCACCCTGTAGGTGTAGAGCAAATTTTAAATATATAAAAAATCAAAATTTTATTCGTTGTAAATTACAAATATACATTTGTTTTTCTTTTTAATTTTTCTCATCTCAATTGAAAAACTAAACTATTGTCCATCCTATCTGACAATTTCATATAATCCCTCTATCAAATCTACAATAACTTCTCTTTCCCTCTTTTTTTTTCTTCTATTATCCGTATACAAAAATTCTTTTACTATAATCTTTAAAATGTTAATAAATAATCATTAAAAAAAAAAACGAAACAAACCCGTATGGATTATTAAATGCTATAGCATAAACAACATTTTTGTGTCCTTCAAGTGTATGTAATTCTTCACCTGATGCTGTATCCCATACTTTACATGTACGATCATATGAACCGGTAATAAATCTAAATGATAATATAAAGAAAAAAAAGAAATTAATTTACGAAAAAAAATTCAAAAAATAAATAATCATACAATGAACCAGATTTATTAAATGCTACATATGTTAATGGAAGTATATGAGCACGAAGAACTTTAAATAAATAAAAACGTCTATCCTCTTGATGAGAAATTTTTTCTTGTAATCCTTAATACAAAAAAAAAAAATAATACAAAGAATAATAAAATTCAATAACAAAAAACAAAAAAAAAATAAGAAGAACTCATATATTCTTACTTTCAATTAATTCTTTAACTTTATCAACTTTTGTTGCTGTAATTAATGGTTCTCTTCTCACAATTTCCTCAACAACACTATTGACATCAGTACTGAAAAATAAAACAAAATAAAAACGAAATTTTTTTTTCAATATAGTTAAAGTCGTTCTGATCTTTGTTTCTTACTCAGCTTTAAGATCAAGTAAATCAATTGATTTTGTTTTTAATACATTACTTTGTTCATATTCGAGAATAATTCCTAATAATTAATTCATAGATTAATATTTAAAAAACAGAAAACCTATTGTACCTGGTGGATAATACCGTAGAAGAAAACGTTTAAGGCGCATTTCTTATTTCAATAAATTGTTTTAGACAATTGAATAAACGAACTTTTTCTTCAACATTAGTCACATTGCCATGACAAAACCTCCTACATCGAAATTTTTTATTGATAGATGACACTCAATGTCGATATGGTTTTGTTTTATTTAATAGATTGATGAAATTGCAGACAGAATAGAAATCATAAATATTGATAAATTAGTCATTTTTGTAGTAATTTAGATTAAAAAAAAAAAATGAACAAGTTCTTTTATTTCTTGTTAAAAAACCCAGTTCTCGTAAATGTTGAAAATTTCAATGAAAAACAAAACAATATTCTGACATTCTATTCATAAATCATTTTAGAACTTTTTCTTTCGATGATTGTTATTCTCAACGAATTTAATGACTTTTTATTGTTTTGTAAGATAAAGTTTTGCTTTTGAATAGATTTCATTGATTAATTCTTATACATAAGTAGTTTGTCTTTTACAAGATAAAAATAATGTTGAATATTTGATTAAAATAATAGACATGCTAAGTAGAATAAAATCAATTATTGAATTATGATAAGTAATAGAAAAGGACAATCACAATTTATAAATACAGGAAAGATGATCCTTCGTGGAAGCTGGTCTTGTAAATTTTTTGTAAGGTAATTACTAGGCATTTGAATATAGAAGGCGAGTCACAATAACTGGTAAACACGAACAAATATTGCGAAACAGATTTCGTCAAGTTGTAGTTAAGTCCAGGGTACATTGAATTATAGTAGAAAAGCTTTTTTCGACCGGATTTCTAAAAGATTTTCAAGTTAATCTTTAGAAAACAACAATGGTTTTTTAGAGATCTACTAATATATTCAATAGAGAAAAGTATTCTCTTTTGAAATAAGAAAATCTGAGATTTCTAGCTTGTACTGTGTAACAGTTATAAGGGTTTTTCAAAGATCCGTGATTTTGACTAGGTGCTTCTCAGCGGCGGATCTAGGATTTTTTTGATAAGGGGCGATTCGATAGACATGGGGCGATTTTGATCAAAAAGCAAGTTTTGAAGTTTATTAGTAGTAGAATGCACTCTATTTTTAAGACTTTTCTGCTGGGAAAATCCAAAAATTTTTGTTTCGAATGGGGGCGATCGCCCCAAGCGCCCTCCCCTAAATCCGCCACTGGTGCTTCTGAATTACGCAAAAAATTGGTCTAGAGAGAAGTAATCGACTATGATGAATCGAGTAGTGATATTTATTTTTAATTTCAAACGATGTACATTTATTGTATCCAGATTTTCAGAGTTTGATCTATTAGCTTTGTACAACTGAAAAATCTGGATACAATAATTATAGATCGTTGGAAATCGAAAACAAACATCATTACTCGACTCAAATTCAACAAACCTACAGCAGAAGTCTCTAGAAGAGTATTATAAATATTGAACAATACAAGCTGGAAACCTCAGATTTCTTTAGTTCAAAACAGAACGATTTTCTCTGTCAAATGTATACTTTAAGACTTAAAATTCAACGTTATATCTTTGAAAGACCTACTTGAAAATCTCGTAAAAACTCAATTGAAGAAGGCGATCTGGTCTACTCATCAAAGACTATTAATCTCTTCAGCCTGCTTCTGTGATTGTCGGATTAATCTGTCTGTATTCATTTTAATATATTAATACAACAATAATAATTTCATGACAACACAATACTGTCTTGATGAGAAAGCAAGAAAATTATACATACTGAAATGACATGAACTATTGATTAATTCAATACAATATTTATATATCTGCCGAGAATAGGCAACAAAAAAAAAAAATATGAATATTCAGCAAAAAAAAGACTTTTGCCATTGAGTAAGAATATTCTGAATGCATATCTGTAGAAATAAATTTTTATTAGAGTTTCTTCATCCGATTTTGTTTTTCAATAACAATATATTATTAATCTCTTTTACAATTCTTTTATTATTGAATATTGAAATAAAAATTAAAAATTTCTAGATGCATATTTATTCCTATTCCTTTGATCTCTGATGTTTTTTTTGTTTAACAATTGCATGAAATAAGAAAAGAAAAAAGATCTATCATTCCTTGTTGATTATCTTAAAAGTCATTCTCTTCAAAGGCCAATCTTTTTTGTTATTGCTGAAAGTCCAACGAAAATTAATCGAAAAAGAATGATAAATATTCGACGAAATTTAAATGACTTAAAAAAGACGAATTTAATAACCAATACTATTGCCGTAAAATAAAGAAGATTTTGTAAACGTTTTAATCTAAATATTAATCAAAGAAATTTGTTTGTTTGTTTTAAAATATTTTTTAATTTATTTACCTTATATATCGTTTATGACATTTTGATGTACGAGAAAGATCTTCACGAAGTAAATATTGTTTTGCACCGATACAATAATTACGCCAATAATGAAACCATTCAAGATCTTTGAGATCGAAATTAAATATCTAAAAATAATAAATTAATTGTTTATTTCATTGATTATATTGACTTACTTTTTGATCTACATCATTCATTTCATTTTGTAAAAGAACACTATTATCATTTGGAAATAACCATGAATGTGAAGTAAAAAAATCAAGTGTTCGAACACTTTTATAAATTCTTTCAGATAATTTTATAAAGCTAAAATAAAAAACAAAAAATAATTTTCTTTTGAAAAAGCAAACATATTAAATGATTTAAATTTTTATTTACATTGGTTTACGACCAACTAAACGCATATAACAATCGAGAACAAATGCAGGAATTACTTCTTGCCAAACTCGAAGATAATGATATCGAAATCTAATTAAATATAAAATATATATGAAATTATGCTTTGTATTTTGTAATGATATTACCGATTTTCAGTGAATTGTAAATATGGATATGAGATAGCATTTTCCAAACTATTTCTAGAAAGATGATATAAACCATATTCAGCTACTTTACCCCATGTTAATGTACCCAAATGACCAGTACAACAATGATAAACTGGAATATTTTTTGGACTAGAAAAATTTCATAAAAAGAAATTAATTTTACTGGAAAGTTTCTTTTTTTTTAGTAATATTAGAAAAAACAATGGTTTATTTGTATAGTATTAATTAAAAGGTAAATGCAGGGGTTATCTTACAAGGAAATCTCTCTAGGTGTCAAATCGCTTTTCAACTGAGACAATGTTTATTTGATGAGTAATAGAAAAGTCTAGAATGATTTGGTATTCTAGAACTTCATCGTTCTTGAGATAACGAAGTTCTAACGAGTTTTTTAGCGAAAAACTATGCTTATCTGAAAAATTGACTTTCGATTTCAAATTTTGCATGAAAAAAGTTCTTAATAAACTTAGTTGATTATGCGATTTTTAGTTTTTCTAGTATTTCCTTTCTGTAGATAAGCGAAGTTTCCTTTTGCACATGAGAGAATTTTGAATATCTCAGGAGAGGAGATACCAGAAAAATTATAATTTGTTCAATAAACTACTTTCATTGAGAACTTTGTTCATGCAAAGTTTGAAGTCGGAAGTGGATTTTTTTACATGATCGTAGCTTTACGTTGAAAAAAATCAGTAAAACTTCGACGCCTCAAGAATGAAAATCCAGAAAACCAAACCATTCTATTACTCATCAAATAAACATCATCTCAGTCGAATAGTGATTTGGCATCTGTAAAGGTTTCTTCGTCAGGCTAAACGTGAAATACCTATCTTTCATCTGACTTTAATTCTTTACAAGGATTATTTAGTGCAAACATATGTAAAAATGTTAGTTCTTTCAGCTGAGTATTAATTTAAAAGTAAGCAGCAAACATCTCTCTAACTATATGAGAAAATTTCAGGATAGACTGTAGAGCATGAACCACATTTCACGCTGGAATTTTAAGCAATTTTGTGAAGTCATATCGCTAACGACTGATTTGACTCACTGTTTTATAGCTGTATGCCAAGCAATAGCAATCATCATGTTTACACAAACATCAACCGGAACAATATCAGCTATTGCATTATTACTACCTAACATAGTTCGAAGCATACCTTTACCGGTCTAAAATTTATTAATAAAAAGAAACAATCATTTTTCATGATTAAAATCATAGTTTTTTTCATACCGCTACAACCAATCCACTTGGACCATTATAATTATCAACCCAACCCTATATAATAATAAAAGATAAAAGAAGACTCTTTATTTATTTTTGATTTTTTTTGCTTTAAATTACTGGTATTGGTTCACGCCATGATGATCCAACAATTGATGGTCGTATAATAGCTAATGGTAGATCTTTAGATTCTTGTGAAATAATATATTCTGCAAGTGCTTTTGTAAATGTATATGTATTAGGTCTATCATGAATAATTTTATTTGTTAATACATCAAATACTTGATCATCCATCCATTCACTAGCTTCTAATAATTTTGTTGGTTGAATTGGTGGTGGATAAATCATTTCAGCAACATCATTACGATTACAATTTGCATAAGCTGTAGATACATGAACAATAGACTATTAAAACAAAAATAAAAGAAATGAGAAATATTTCATTTCTATTTTACTTGTAATTTTTTCATTCTATAACATAAACAAAGTAATTTTTTTACAGATGCAACATTCATTTGTATTGCAAGTCTTAAATATGAAAAATAATTTAAGAATAATGTCTTTTGTTTTTTTTGTTTTTTTTTGAAATTATACCGAAGTGGTTCTTGAAATCGAACAGTTGCTGCTGAATGAAATACAATTTGACATTGTTCAAGTAATATATTTTCATCTGTTGGACTAAGACCAAAATTTGGATCGAGTATATCACCTTGTAAAACACTAATTTTTTCTTCAAAATTTGGATTGATTTCCCGAACTGTATTGAATAACTAATTTAAAAAAGAAAAATGAACATATTCTTTTTAAATTCAAAGTCTTACAGGACTTGATATTAATTCTTTTAATCGATCATGAACACCCTGGCCACGTTTTGGTCGTATAAGAAGATAAATATGTTCGATATCTAAATTATAAATATTATAGAATAAATAAAATATATCGGATTTAATTTACCTGGACATGACCGAACAAGTTTTTCTACAAGTTGTTTGCCAATAAATCTAAATAAATAATTTAAAAATTAACATAAAAAAAAAAACAAAGATGACAATAAATCTTTGATTATTTTTATATCTTTTACCCTGTTGCACCAGTAATAAATATTGATTTTCTTTTAAAATATTCTATAATTGCACTTGCTTCTGTACTGGCCGACATTCTATATATAAATATTATACTTGATCTAAATAAGTAGAAGAAAGGAACTATCACAAGTTATAATTGATGTGTCTTTTCCAAATATTTTTTTGTTTTTTGTTTTTTTGAATAATAGATAAATAAGAAATACGTCAATTTCTCAAATAAACACAAAAAAAGCACAGTCACAATACAACCATACTATCACAAACAGAAACTGAGATAGACATCAATTCAATGAATAATATATGATTTGTGATTATTTATGGAAAGAATGGTATCAGAATATGATCACAAAGCATGAAAGACATCAACAATTTGCAAGTTGATATACAAGACAAGAAAAAGAAAAAAGAAAAAAGTTCTCGATTGATATAACTAATAGATACAACAAAAAGATAATACGTTTTAAAAGAAATACAATATAATGAAAAAGAAAAACGAATCATATAATATGAATATAGTGAAGCGAAAGAAAAGAAAAAAAGTTTTCTAGATTATTAATAGACAATAAATATCACATTTATATATTTTTGTTCTTGACCATGTCTAAATCTATTATAATAATCATATAATAATTATAATAATCTTCACTTACTAATTGTTATATTGAATAAAAAGACAAAAGAATAAATAAACTGTTGTTATATTAATTATCTATAAAATAATAAAAATAAATTTAAGTTTTCGTTTTTTTTTTTCTTTCTTTCTTTATTTTCGTACCGTCGACTGTATCTGGCACTTGTTGATGGTGGTGTTAAACGTGTATCACGTTCACGATAACGATATTCATGGCCATTTGATCGTTCTGCTGGTGGATAATAATTACCCATATAACCATCATATCGACGTGAAAATGATGGATACATTGGCATTCCATGACGAAAATAGGCTGGAGCGGGTAATTGTCCCGATGCATATGGTGAACGAGACCTAAAGTTCCATATGAACCAAATCCAAGTCCATTAACAGTTTTTATATCTCCTTTCCAAATATGAAATACCGTCCGAGACAACCAAAACCCAAAGAAAATTATTTTTTTTTTCTATATTATTCATATCTTTTTTTTTCTATTCTATTAAGTCTAGCTCCAAAATTTGTATGTATGTTATGGATCCAGAAAGATATATTAATCAACACCAGTTATATGTATATATATATATATATATATATACATATACATGTTAGAAACCAAATCATATGCGTACACTGTCATTCAATATTAGTATCCATCCATACCTCGAATGGTGATTGTTGTTTGAAGATGAATATCGACCATAGTTATCATCACGACGACGTGATGAACGTCCTTCCATCATTAAACGTCCACAATCACGACTAGAAAATAATAATATTAATCAAATGTTTCCGTTTTTTTTTTGTTTCTAAATTCCTACCTAAAATGACCTCGTTGTCCACATTTATAACATCTCATATTTGGATCATAACGATGAGAACGATTTCGTGTTCGTGGTCGAGCCCATGTCACTTTTAAACGATTACTTCCAAATGATCTTAATCCAATAATAATTATCTAGATTTATTTTTGTACATATAAATTTTATATTCTATATATCATACCTTCCATCCATATGATCAATAGCTTTTTGTGCTTCTTCTTTTTGTTTATAAACAACAAATGCAAAACATGATGCACTTGCAACCCAAACATCAAGTAATGTACCATAACGTTGAAATACTTTTCGTATTTCACTTTCTTGTACACCTTGTGGTAATTCAGCGATATGAATACGATATTCATTTGGTTGATCATTTCCACTATCATGATCAGATATTGGTGAACGAGATCGTCGTGTTGATGGTGTTGAACTTCGTGAACGAGACCGTGATCGTGGCATATTTTAGATGAATAATACCAAATTGAAAATAGAAAAAGAATTAAAATTAATCAAATACTAAAATAAAATGATAGACAATTCATTATGATTAAATTTGTTCATATTATCGAACAGTGGCAAACATAGAACAAAGCACAATGTCGAATTGAAATACATAAACAAAAAAAGAACAACATATATAGAGAACGCTAAGCGATCGATATAAGAAAACAGATCAATACAATGTCATTATTCTTCTTTTTTTCAATCAATAACATATGCAAATTATGTTCGAGGTGGGCTAAAATAAAATAAAAACAATAGAATAAATGATTAGAAAAAAAAAAATTCGTAAATCTTAGAAATCCATATGCAAATGTATTACAAGAAATTTACTAATTAAAGTTCTAATTTTTTGAGTAATTAATTAATTAATTAAAGAAGCTCTTCTATTGTGAGAAAGGATTTACAAAGCGTGCTATCGACTTTCTTTTTATAGATTTAAAAATCAGTTTTTAATGGAAATGCATAGATGATATTTTACTTATTGTAATATCTCATTTTGTATAGAACTCAGTACTCTACTATAATGTTATGTTGAAGCTGTTCCAAGACACAAAGGACTGCACTTTTTTTGGACTTTTTCACAACATTTACTGATAGTTACTCAATTTTATTCTAGAAAGAAAATCTGAACATATATTAAAAGGCAGTGAAAAATGAACTACTGCATCATTTGAATCAAAAGATGAAAATCTTTACCTCGAATAATAACCAGATCCATTGTCACGTGATTTATAATTCGATTTTGGTGATGATCGACGAGGACTATATTATAAAAATAAGATTTTAATTTAATTTAATATAACTATTTATTTACCTATGACGACGATATTCTCGAATAACACGTGGACGAGGTGAACGTGAACTAAATATAAAAATATAATTTTATTATATTTTATTTTCTTTTTTTCGTTACTCATACCGAGATCGAGAATACGATCGTTCATAACGACGTTCACGTGAACCAGATCTAAATACAAACAAAAAAAATTTTTCAAAAAAAAAATTTCTTTTTCCCTTATATATAAAACTCACTCAATATAATAAACAATTATTTATACTTATGGAAAAAAAACAAAGTCTCTCAAGAATTTACCTTAATTTATCGTCAAATTCAAAACCAAACCCACGCATTTTTAATATGTATCCCATCCAAGACCATATTGATGATCCCAGTGTGATATATATTTATATATATATATATATATTACATACTCTCCAATTGTTTCGGCCACTCCATTAATGAAAAAACTCACCGATATCCATTGCCAGATTTTTTTTTGTTTTGTTGTTCACTACCACAATCACGACTGAAATGTCCTCGGCCACCACATTGATAGCATCGCCTTTAATAACAAAAAAATAAATTTAATTATATAAATATAAATATTCTTACTTATTCGGATCAAAATATCTTCGACCACCACCGCCACTAGCACGTATACGTGGTCGAGCTAAAGTGACTCGAACGCGTGCATCACCAATATATCTTAAATTAAAAAATGTTTTTTTTGTAAAATACGAAAAATAAGATGAAAATCTTCTTTTTTTTTACCGGCCATCAATTTCATTAATAGCTGGTTGAACATCTTCACGATTACGTAAAACAACAAACGCAAAACATGATGCTTGTGCATGCCAAACTTCAGATAATGGCCATTTCTCAAATGCTTTTTCAATTTGACGTTTCGTACAATTTAATGATAAATCAGCAACATGAAGACGACTATTATTATCATCGTCTTCCTGATCATTATTATTACGTCTTGGTGAACGTGAGCGACGTCGATAAGATGATGTTATTGGTGACCGTGAACGAGAATGAGAACGAGAATAAGAACGAGGCATATTGGAATTTAAGAAGAATGATTTTTATCTAATGGTTATTTTTATGACAAAAAAATTATTGACATGTAATACAATGTGTTTTGTTTTTTGAGAGAATGAACTAAACAAGCAAATATTCTTATTGGTGAATCGATGTTTATTTAATATATCGATAGTTAAAAAATGAAAAATTTTAATATTGAAGTTTAAAGATCTATATAAATTTAATTAATAACAATTAGTCGAGTTTTTTTTTCGAAGAACAAATATCAATTCAATAGATGGCGCTGATGAACAGGAATGTATAAGGAATATAGGAAAAGTCCAATTTCATGTCTAAAATCAATACTATTTTTGAAATTCTAATTAAAACTACGAACAAAGTAGTGTCATAACTTTGCAAAAATAGCTAGTCGATACATGGGATCATTTTTGTTTTACTACTGGTTGAAAATTTTATAAATATGTTCAAATAAAATTCAATACTGAATGTTGATTAGAACAATGCAATGACTTAATTTATTTTTATTGATTTCTGTACTTCAGATATATGTAAATGCTACCAAATTTTAATTCGATTTCAGTATAGTAGAAGACACCGAGATATTAAGCAAAAATAATTTAAGCAATGAATGTCATTAAACATACTCAGAATGAAATATTAAATGTTTTCTTTTTAAAGTCTAGTTTACGTTTATATTTGTCATGGTTTCAATTCACTAGCAATGAATCTTACTTTAGAAAATCATTGATTCTAATTCAAAACAGAATATTTGGAAAGCAATGTTTTTTTCCTTCCAGACTTCCATATATGATACTATAAATTTCTAAGTAGATACAGTCAATATAATTTGACGCATGGTTTCTTTTTTTTGTCTGCATTTTCAAATTAATCAGAACAGTCTAGAAAAGAAAGAAGGACAATAAAAAAAAAACGTCTTACGCGTAAAATGCTTTGTACTTATGATTCATCAATATGAAGAAAGTTCTGTTTTATTTGTTCTTCGAATTGCAAGAAGAATAATAAAATAAAAAATGATTTTTCCAACTTAAACTTCATCGTAAACAAATACGATATTTAACTTTCTATACCGTCATTTCTTCATAGAATTTTGAAAAAAAAAGAAGTTCTGAAAATCCATAATTGAACAGTTTGATTTTGCACTATCTACATCACTTTTTTCCATTTTGTTTCTCAAATCTATTAAAATTCTCATGTATTGCTATTATCGAATGTAAAAAAAAAAGAAAGGGATATTCGATTTATCTTTTTTTTCTTTCCAAGATTACAACAGAACAGAAAAAAAGAAAAAAAAAAGTTGTTTTTTTTACGTTCTGTTCTACCGACCATTTGGTTTTTTCCTGTTTATATCTTACCTACTCAAAAAAGTAAGGCAACACAAAAACGTTATTATTGTCATTTTTATCACGAAAGAAAAGAGACACAGAAACAAAGTAAAAAAACTATATCGTTTGTGTATTTTTATTAAGAAAAAATTGAAATTATTTCAGTAATAAACAATGTCAAAAAAATCTCATGATCAATCTTCACCATCAGACTTAAATCAACATCGAACACAACAATCTTCACTTCTCGCACAATTTACAAATGCAACAGCTCCCGGTTATCAGCCACAACCTCAAGCAACAACATCAACACATTCATCGGCATCAGGTTTTAATCAAAATAACACATCTTATAATACTAATTCTACAAAATCAAACTCTACAGCTTCTGCTAGTCAAACAGCAAAAAATGTTTCAAATACATTTCTACCATTGCCATCACAAACAATTAATTTAGCTACATTTAAAGGTTTCAAATTCGTTACACTTGATGGTTTACTGATAGAGACACGTGATATTTATGATAAAATTAGTGATACATACCAATGGGAAATGTGTCAAGATCAAGAAGATCGATGTATAGCTTATATTCGTGATCAATGTGTTAATAAACGAACATTTCTTATTACGTCTGGTGGATTGGGAAAAAATATTGTACCTAAAATTCATGAATTACCACAACTTTATGCTGTTTATATTTATTGTGCGGATGTTGTGTATCATCAAGAATGGGCATGTAAATTTTCAAAAGTACGTGTTGTTTGTAATAATGACGATAAATATTTATTACCTCAATTTGCTGTTGATGTGGCACAAGCTACTATTGATTGGGGAGATGCACTTGTCAAAGATGGTAAACGTGATGCAG